GTGAGAGAACCCTCGACCTAGTAGGGGAAGCACCTGGGGGGACTGGAGCATGAGAAATATCACCTCAGCTCTGTGTCCCTTGGATGAGAGACTTCTAGTAGGTAGGGGGAGTGGCAAGTGGGCTTTTAAACACACAAGTCTAAGGCTGAGGGGAGTGATTGGAATTAGACATTTGAGAATCATCAGACTGTGAAGTGATATTATCTAAACTCATCCCAGTGACCATTTCTCTTCTCCAGCACATGTAGAGAAGTAACTGTGGGTCCTGGATTTTCGAATTGTTTTCTATCAATTCACAGTAATCCACCGTTTTCTTTTTAATGGGTACAGATTAGTCTTTTACATATTTGCACAATAACGCAAGGGCAAGATTACCTTCTTTAAGAATAAAACTGGAAAAAAAAAAGAATAAAAATGGAGCTACCAGTTCATCTACTTGTCTGATGAAGTAACATTTAAAAGTAACTTTTGAGTTAGTAGAAAATCCAATTTGACATATGAATTAAAATTAAATTTTAGAATTCATTTAAGAAAGGGTTATTGGAATAGTTGTGTGTAAATTCCAGAATAAAAATGTGGTTAGGAGGAAAAAAAATGTTCTGAAGGAAAATAGTCAGAATTTAATTCCATGATCTCATCTGGTAAATTAAAAATGGTTAGGGAATGAATGAATCAAGTATGGTACAGCAAAGATGGGCTGCAGTTCAGACATTCAAAGAGTGTAGCAGGTGGCTATATTTAGGATATGTTCAGAACACATTTTATTTATTTTTCTTTTTGCAGAGGAAAATTGGGGTGTAGGCCAGAGTTGTGGGGTGTGTGAGAGGATTCACCAGAGACGAGTGGGAAGCAGAACAGGTGGATCTACTGAAATCCACTGCTGAGGGGAGCAGCGGGGAGACAGAGAGGTCTGCTGTGCCTTGTGGGTCAGCTCCCTGGCCAGGGATCCAACTCAGGCGGGGAAAGCGCTGAGATTTAACCCCTAGGCCACCAGGGAGGCCCTCATAACACATTTTAAGAGAGAAAAAGAGAATGTCATGACAGAAGTACTCTTATCATGGGGTCTGCAGGCTTAGCTTCCCTTTATACATACTAAATGCACCATCAGGGTATGTGAAATATCATGATGACTACACATTTTTTTAAAGACTGGAAGAAAATATATTAACATATCAAAAGTGCTCTTTGTTTCAAATACCCCTTCTACTCTTTTCTGTATTTCCTGGACATAGTACAAACCTATCAATACTAAGAAAGATTTTGATTTATTACACGTTCTAAATGGGGTTGCCCTCTCCTGCAAAGCTTTACCAAATAGAGCCAAAGAAAGAGCAGCCTTGGAGAAAGTCAGGTCCTGGGGGGCACCGGGGAGCCCGGGGTCCTAGCAGGCCCTAGAACCTCCTCGTCTTCTATACCTGCAATTCATCCACGGTGACAGAAGTTTCATTTATGCTTATTCTTCAAGTTCATTTTTCCCATCTGGTAGAAATAGGATAATTCTTTTATACCAAGTGATAAAATGTTCCCTCCCAGCATATTTATGTGTGACTTTGTTGTTGTGCCTGAAAACCTTTTAAGGCTTCTGCCCTCAGCCAGAAACAAAGTCCAAGAGCAAATATTTACGTTTCAGAGGAAAATGTGAATGTCGTGATTAGGACCTGGCTCAGAAGCTGGCCTGCGCCTATGGAGATGGATAAGGACTGACCCACCGGAATGTGCTCACCCGTGGGGGTGCCATAATGCATTTTGTATGCGCTTTAATTTGCTACAAGGCAGGAACTTGTCCCCTCCTTTTTAGCTGATGAGCTTATCCAGCACAACCAACAGAGGCAGGCTGCGTTCTTGACCCTCGATTTCCTGGCTCCAAGGTTGGTTCTTACCCCACTAGGAAACTTTATTTTTCCAGAATGAATGGCCCAGAGATCTTATATAAGAGAGCATGGTGATGGTGCAGTGTGGTCCCTGGGCCAGTAAGATTGGGATCCTTCAGAAACTGGGGGAAATGCAAAATCCTGAGCCCACCCCTGGGATGTCTGGCAGTGGGGGGCAGGCATCTGCCCTCCATATGGTTCCTAACTGGCGAAAGTTGGAGAAGTGCAGACTCAAGGTCCGGAAAGTAAATACATGTCCAAGCATTATTTTCACAGGCACGTAAGTAGACAGAAGCGGAAGGTGTTCTTCAGGGAGCTGATGTCAGTGAATCCAGGGCTGAATTTTCAATGAAAGGAGGTACAGGACCTTGAGGTGCTGGTGTTTGAAGCAAAGTTTGGCTTTTTCTTTCTTGAGCTGAATTGTCCCATTGACTCAACCTCACCCACATCCTAAAAAATTATGTTTATCACAGTCATGTTGCTCTACAGTCATGTTGCTCTACAGCACTGTAATTTAGGGGCACAGATTCACACATCTTCAGATGTAGCCACCACCCCCACTACACAGGCAGGCACAATCCTCCACCCTAGTCCATTGGGTCCTCCCTTCACCTTTGCTGCTCTGCTCACCCTTCCCTTCTGGAAACCTCAGCTCTACAGTTGAATTTCTTGGTTTGTTTTGGCTGAGTTTTGTCTGTTCTTTTGCTTTCTTTCTTTACATTCCACATGAGTGACATCATCCGGCATTTATTTTTCTCCTGGCTTATTTTACTTATCATCACCCCCTCTAGTCCCATCCATGTAGTTGCAAATGGCAAGATTTTATCTCTTTTTACAGCTGAGTAGTATTTCACTGAGTATATACACCATCTTCCCGATCCACTCAACTGTCGTTGGGCACTTAGGTTGTTTCCATAACTTTACTATTGTGCACAGTGCTGCAGTGATCATCGAGTGCAGATCTCCCTTGGAATGAATGTTTTGTGCATTTGGAGCTTCAAGTGTCCACAGAGAATAAGTGAGTAGGTATATACACTCTCTGAAATGCAGGGCGTTGTCAGAATTACATGCACTTTGGAAGTCTCAGCTGGGGACATTCAGGTGTAGCTGGTGCTTCTGGCTCCGGCTGCCTCTAATAGCCAGAGCCAGCTACAGGCCCAGGTGGTGGGGAGGGAAATTCGCCTCCTGGTTTGCACACACAGGGTTGTACCAGCAGGGACCCCACCAGAGTCCCCCTAAGGGACAACCTGGCAGAAGTCTAAGAGCCTGCAGAGGGTGACATAAGGCTGTGATATAAGATTGGCCGTTGTGGTGACGTGTGGTCCAGCCCCTGCTCACAACCGCTGGGGCCAGCGAGCAGTTACATCCTGTCGTGCTGCTGTACAGTTCGAGAAGCACGGTGCTCGGCTGTAAAACAGCTGGATTCCAGAGAAAGGCAATATGGAGCGGCATCGAAGCTGAGCCTCTGTGTCAGGCCCACTAAGGAAGCTGGAGCAGCAGGCAAGTCAGCCAGGCCAGGTGACAGGATAGAGGCCACAGCCGGCTGGCAGGGCTGAGGACAGTTGCTTTTTTCACTGACCAGCTCTGCTGAGAGGTCGTTAGCATATTTCCTCTCCCAAAAGGGTTGATGAGCGTTGCCCTTCACTACGAGGGGCGACCCCGGCCTTCAGCATGTCCCTCACAGGAGGACGGAAAGTTTTTAATAGGCTCTGCCTGTGTGGTTGATGATGAGTCTGATGGGGGTGCCCCCTGGTCTGTTGTCTCTGACATTTAAATGTCCCTTGCTCTGGGGCCACCCACTAACTCATTAGATCAGGCTTTTTACACATCGTCTGCCCAGCACACACCACACTCTGATTTGATCTTTCGGATGCCAGCTTTTTAAAGCTGTAATTCACATACCAAACCGCGCACCCTTTCAACTACAATTTGGTGCTTCTAAAATATCCAGCGTTGGGAAACTCACCACAGTCAACTCCAGAACATCCTCATCACCCCCAAAAAAAACCCGACTCCTTGGCTTGGCGAAGCGTTCAGGCCTCCCTTGTGGTGGCACATGATGCGGCAGGTTCTTTTTAGGACAATTGGATTATTTCTTGTTTAATTTGACTGCCTCCTGGCACGGGAAGCTCTGTGAGAAGGGGGCTTAGAGGCTGAAAAGAGGGGAGTGTGTCTTCAATCTGTGGGTCATGAGCTCCCCACTCCATGGCCAGCTTCTCTCTCCACAGCTCAGGCTTCAAGCCTTTGAGTATCTGGTGCCACTGGACAGACTGGGTCCTCACGGGCTGGGTTAGGAGGCCAGCCTGCCGCCCTGCGGTTTAGGGGGAGAGCTGGGATGTGGAAGCACAGGAAGACATTTGGTTGACTCTCTTCCCTGGTGGGATCTTGAGGCAGCACTGCTAATAGAATGAATAAATGCTGTTGCTGGCCTCCCTGCGGCGGGCTGTCCCGGCCGACCAGCACAGTCCCCAGACCCTTGGGATCGGGACAAGGATCGGCGCTTGGCAGCGGCAGGCAGAGTTTTTTTCTCCGATGCTGCTGTAGAGCTCCAGCTCAGATCAGTAAAAACTGAAAGGAAGGAATTGGTGGGTACTGCTAGCCTCGGGTTCGGGTGCAATCCAGGGGCTCGGTCACCGCTCTCCTGAGCTACTTTTCCTGGCTTTGCCCTCCCAATCACTGTTCCCCCTCGGGGTTCCAAGAGAGCGTCTTCTTTCTTCTGTGACCCTCTCAGCAACCCCAGAAGGATGCTCACTCATCCAGCATGTTTACTGTGCACCTACTGTGCGCCAGGGCAAATCCCGGGCAAAACTCCTTGGTTTACCTCTAGGTTGGATATTTTCAACTTAGGAGTTTCTTGGGACTTAACCCATTGCAAGTCCAGGATGGTCTGTTGTGTTCTCTTCACCGCAGGCAAATCCTCACTCCGGGGTCTATATTCACTCGTGAGAAATAACTCACTCGTGGGGTAATTACTCAATGTTAAATGCTCTGAGCCATACGCATGGGGTAAATACTCACGGGGAAAGGCTGATGGGGAAACACTCCCTGATGGGCTGTCTCTGGCCAGCTCAGTGGTGGTTCTGGACTCCCTGCCCTCCAGCCCTCTGACCTGCCTCCCCCTCTGCGCAGCTCCAGATGAAGATGAGTGAGCGGGCCGCCTCGCTGGCCACCATGGTGCCCCTGCCGCGCAGCGCCTACTGGGAGCACATCACGCGGCAGCATAGCACCGGGCAGCTGTACCGCCTGCAAGGTAAGGCGGGTCCTGGGGACCGGCGCCCCAGGAATTCTCCTGTGGGAGGGATGCACAGACGTGGGGAGCCCGGGGTTCTGGCTCTGCTGGACTCCAAGCACACCCACAAAGCCCCTCCTGCAGGAAAGCAGGGGACAGAAGGGTCAGGGACGGACACCAGCAACACTCAGCAATTATCCCATTTATGCACTTTCCTGTCCTCCAGAGGCACCTTTTTTGATTTATGGTGTACAAGAATAGCACGTGCGAGCAACCGGTAAGGGGCTGCAGAGGCCTCTGTAGGGGCTTTGTCATTGATGGTGCAAGTCACAGAACTTTGAAGAATAAGCACTCGACTCTGCCTGCTTCCTCTGCAGAAATGTGCTGAATAAATGAATGCAAGGATGACTGACTGAATGACCACAGAAGCAGGCTGGAGCACAAAGGCCTGTTCACTGTGCTGGGTCACCCAACCTTTCAGTGCTGCCCACTGGGCCTTTCTCCCCCAGAACGTCTTTTCCTGTGCTCCCCTCCTGTCCCGGCTAACTCTGTGTCACCTCCAACCCTCCCCTCACAGACTCTGTCATGCCATCATGGAAACCTCTGACTGTGTGTAGCACAAGCATGAAGATGATGAGTCGCTGCTCGTTAAGTCTTTGCCCTGGTGTTCATTTCCTGTTTTAGCCTGTGGCCTGTTTGCTCAGGACAAGTTCTTCCAGGAAGCATCGGCAGGGAAAGCAAACTAGGCAGGGGCCAGGTCTCCCTCTGGGTCTTCTCCTTCTACCCCCAGCCTGGTATGCAAACATCCATGGAAATTCGTAGAACTTGCGTTCTCACCTTCATGCTTGCAGGCAGAGAGTGTGGCGCACAGTAGGTGGCGCACAGTAGGTGTTCAAAACCTGTATCGCAAGTGCCTGGCTGAGTGAGAGCTGCCTGTGTGAACAGTGACTGACTGAATACACCCACCTTCCAAAACACAGCTACACAGAGAAGAGTCGGCCTCATCAGGTCACCCGCAGATCCCACCACCTCTCACATCAGCCTCAGAGAGCTTTATAGACGTGAATCTTACCAGCATTTTTGTCATCGATCCGTAACATATACTATTTTTCCATTTTCTTCAGTCTTTTATACTCAAATGTATTTACTTTAAAGAAAAGTGTGTTTCACTACCTTTATATTGTTACAGCAAGTGGCTGTATTTTCCAAACATACAGTAAGATCAACGGTAATTATGAAAGTTTCAAAGATCGTGAACGTAAATGCACACGAAGCTTTTGAATTGCTTTGTGCCTTGACGTTTAGCATCCCCCGAGGTAATCTTTACAAACAAGTCAGGTCTTTTTATAGTCTGTGTGTCTGAAGTGCACAAGGAAGTTGGGGACCCAAGTGACGCAGGCTTCATCGAGGGAAATAGATGGACGGCCTTGACTCCTGGACTGCAGCATGGCCTGAGCATCCGTAGAAACTCACAAAGCTCTGGATTTTCCTTGAACTCCCAAGTTTGCAGAGATGCTCTGAGAGTGAGGAAAGCCGCAATGCTGGGACACGCTGCCGATTCAGAATTTTATTTGCAGGCATCCCAGAGCGTAAAAGCCCTCAGGACAGCGTGGGCTTGGACAATGCGGTGTGTGGGGTCCACTGGCGTTACGATTCTTAACTAACCTAACGCCCCATAACTCAAGGTGGGAGGCACTCGTCAGAGATGACTGAAGTCTGAGGGTCTTGTCAGGGCTCTGATGGGCAATCCTATTTTTAAAAATCTTTGTAAATTGAAAGAGGGTGTTGAGAAGCTGTTGGCGTCCTGTCTGCCTGCTCCTAGGATGCATGTCTGCCTTCCCCGATAATGTCTACGTTGAATGCTATGAAGAAGACAATTTTATTTTCCAGCCTCCAGACTCAGGTATTTAACGACAATTGCAAATTTGCCTCCAGGCTCCAAGTCCCGTTACGGTTGGAAGACCCTACATTGCTGGCAACTCTGGGGTGATGGGCAAAGATGAGAAATCCACTCGTTCCAAAGCAACAGTAGTTTATAACGTTCCCCTGAGAAATGAGGGGAGCGACCCACGACATCACAGCAGGGGAAGATGCACGCCCCGGCAGAAGTTTCCTTTGTGGTTTTTATTAAAAAGCAAACCACACACCCACCGGCCCCTTGGAATCGGAATTGAGCTTATCCTCTTTATCTTTGGGTTTATTACTTCTTGATGCCTAAACCATCACTCAAAAGTAATGAGGTTTTACTGTAAAATTAGGTTCAAGTTGATTGGTATAGATTTTTTTAAATGAACACAGTAATTGTACTTATAAAACAGTAATTTGAAGATACTAAGATGAGTACATTTCTAATGAAATAAAAGCCAGTGGTAATGAGGACAAATGCCACGGAATTCCTGCTGAGTTGATGGATTAGCAAGCTTTCTGATTGATCATTTATAGCGTTTTGAAGATGATAATTGCAATTTTTATTGCTTATCTTTCGTACATAGTTGATATTCCCTTAATATAATTGTCCATTAGAATTCTTACGTTTTTCCTAGTTTGGCAGCATATGCACACTCAATGGGACATCCCAAGACCTCAGAATATCTGTCAGAATATTTGTATACGTGAACATGGCATTATTGTTGTTTCAAAATTATTTTTTTGTTTTACATGTTGAGCCAGTTGCTTCATCATCAAATGACTTGTTTTCACATACTTCTGTTTCTTGTATAGCAATCCATGTAAATGTGTTTTATTTTGACCCTTGGCTTGTCTACTGAAATCTCTCTCCACCTGTGTGTTCTATGTAGACTTTTCTACTGTAAAGTCATCTTGTGGATAGCTTTTTGGTCCCCAGTAGTCTCTCCTCTTACCAGTAAATTTGGTACATCGAGCAAAACAATTCACAGACAGCCGAAGACATCTTCATGTTCAGAGGTGACTACATCTATTGTTCAGTGAGGCATCTGTTGTTCTAGCTTACACACCTGCCTTCCTCCCTCTTTCTCCCACCCCTGGAAGAAAAAAATAATATTGACAAAAATGAATAGCGCTTGGACCTGGGTGTCCCCTGCGCTGAAGTTACTCAGTATGCCATTTCTTGTTTTGCTGGTAATCACCAGTCACAATTCCCCTGACCACCTCGCCTGCCTGGATGGATTTCAGGCTGACTTTTCATGACAGATCTGGAGGTTAATCGTGGAAATCACACTCTTATGGAAGAATTGATCCAACTGGCTTGAGAAAAAAATTTTTAATCTCTTCTGCAAATGTAGTCCTGGAGAGCCGCCTGCTGTTTGCTTTTGGAATTATCATTTTATTCCCTTGGGGAGGAGAGGCACCTGCTGCGTGCAGCCAGAGCGTTTAATCCACCTTCATTGCTTCTCCCAACCCACCCCCACTTTCCAGTTTCATGTAGGAAATTTTTTTTCGTGGCTAGGTGCTCACAGAATCAACAGGGGAAGGAGGTTTGGCATGACAGCTGGTTGGCATGATGGAATTGCAGCTCTCAGCAAGCACTCGCTGGGCACCATCATTCCCATCAGTCCTGCAGGAATGCATCGCATGAAATAACCACAGACTGCGGTTCCCCCAGCTGTGTTCTGTGGGGTACCCCCCCACCCCGTGTTCATTCATCTAGTTACTCATTCAGCTACTCACTCATTCATCCACTCACCCATTCACCCACTCACTTATTCACCTACTCGGTCATTCATTTGTTTGGTACATATTTACTGAGCATCTGCTTCATGCCACGTGCTGTGCTAGATGATAGAGATGCACTGGCCACGAGACATTCATGTCCCTGCCCTCCTGGAGCTTATACTCTAAAGAAGAGTCACAGCAATTAAATATATTTAATTTCAAATGTGGTGCCTGTCACATTTGAAAAGAAAGCATTTGCCATGGAGGAAGAGGCGGAGTCATTGACTTGGAGAGGACAATGCCTTGCAGAGGGCTTCCTTAGAGGGTGGTCACAGGAGTCTGCAGTGTTCGCCCCAATCATGAGTGTGAGGAGACAGAGCTGTAGTGAGAGTTCTCTCCCCATCGCCCTGTACTGAGAGCCAAGGAAAAGTGGTCTTCAAGTGCAAAGGCCCTCAGGCCCTAAGGCAGAAGCCAGCCAGGATTTTCAGAGAGCAGAAAGGAGACTGTGGGGTTGGCGCACACTTTTATTAGGAGACAGTGGGGTGCCTGCAGCCTCAGGGTTGTGCCTTCTCTGATTCCCCCACCCTCTTCTCAGTTATTTTGGTGGGAATCTTCGCCCTTACTCCACAGGTGCGCCATGACCCAAAGTTGCTCCTTGACCCAATCTTTTCAGATCTTTTCTGTCGGCGTCTCTTGTTTCAAACCCAAACCAAGAAAAACTAGGCGCCTCTGATCATTGATGAGATTTGACTGTTGAAAATTTTAGGAAATGATTGAGAGGCCCCAATGTTTGTGTCACTCTACTGGGCACCTGCTGGCGCCTTGCTGGGTTCTCCTGGCAATGGTTGCTTGAGCACAGCAGGCCGGTCTTCTCTATTTCAGGGTCAAGCACTTGCTCAAGCTCACACCAGTGTGTGGAGGGGCTGGCGCCACAACTCCAGCCTTCTGACTCCCTTGCTGGCTATTTCTTTATCGTATGGGCTGCCCTTTGGGATGAAGTCCTGCCACGTGGGCGCTTCAAAGTCACATGCCAAGCAGTGGGAGTAGTCCCTGCAGGGGATTGGCTCCAGCCTGTGATTTACACGTTTATTTTAAGGGTGATGGATCCCTGATGCAAGTGGCTACTTCGGAGGAGTTAAACTTCGTTTTTCAATATTCACTCTAATGTGGTCGCAAATGTTGTATGTTACACGAAACCTTTAGTGTTTCCTTTAACCTTTACCGGCACCATGAGGAGGGCAAAGCAAGTGTTATCACCCCATTTTGTAGATGTGGAAAATGGGTCAGGTTATTGCCCAATTTCTCACCACTGGTCCTGGGACTGAGGTCCGAGGAGGTCAGGACTGTGATGATGTGGCAGAGGACCTACGTGTGCCTTCTGCCCCCACCGTCTTGATGGGGGCCCCTTCTCTGCCTGCTGTGTGGGCTGGAACCCCAGGCTTGGTTATCAGGGAAGCGGTACCCACGGGAAATTGCGTGCCTGTGCCAGCCCTCGCCGGCAGATGGCAGTAAAACCTCTCGTTTTTATAAATTCAGGCATTTCATCTATTGGGACGAGCCGGGTGTCACCTGCTGGCCACTTCCCATCTGCTGTCTGTTTTTGTTGACAAAGTTTTATTGGAACATCCATGCCTGTTCCTTAAATATTAACGACGGTTGCTTTCAAGCTCCAGGCTGTGGAGCTGGATGGTTTCGTGAGACCCTAAGGTGGTCAGAACCTATACTTAGTACGGGTCCGTCACACACAGTCGGCTGCCCGTCAGTGTCACACGGGGGCTGCCAGCAACCTTGTCTCTTGCCTTCCTGATTCCTTCATTTTTCTTAGTTTGGAATCTAAACTTGAAGTAATAAAGGCAACATGGATTTTAAGAAATGCTCCTTTACTGCAAAATAGCCTCAGTCCGCTCTTGCCTGATTTCTGTTGAGGCTTCCCAACCAGAGTGTTCTCATCAAAAGCAACCGTGGTCCTGAGCCCCTCCCCTTTCTCCTCAATACCTGGCTATCGGGGTTGATGAAGACAATTAAGTAGGAAAATCACTGCTCGCGGCCTGATTATAGTTCCCTGCAAAGGCCCATGCAAATGATATGTTAATCATGCAAATGACATGTTAATCTGCTGCCTCGTATTTGCACACCACTGTGAGTAGCCTCTGGGGGGCAAGAAGGCCTGTATTGTAGCTTGTTTATTTCTGTTCCATAGAAACTCGTTACTAGCCAATGTGATCTTGGGCTTTCTTGAAATATAACTGCATTTTCTTTTTTTTTTTCATTCTTTTTGGAAAAGATGTCACCAGCCCTCTGAAGCTGCATCGAACAGAGACTTTTCCCGCCTTCCGATCCGAGCACTGACAGGAGCTGCAAGAGTCTGTGACATTGTGATGTGTCGGCCTCGGGGGGCCCAGTGAGCCCGGTGGTTGCGGATGGCAGCGAGGGATGCCACGCGGAGGGCCAGCGTCGGGCCCGGCCAGCCGTGGGCACCGAGGAATTCCGCAAACCAATATTTGTTTCTTTTCTCTTTTCCTTTCTTCTTTTTTTACATCTCAGTGTGATTGACAGCTGTCCTGTAGGCATCGGCGTGGCGTCCCTCTGCAGCTGGACAGAAAGGAGTCGATGCCGCAGAATGATTTTTCTATTGTAGATACCGTGTCTCTCACGCTGCTCGGAGCCTGTCCTTTTGTGGTCCTTGTGATTTTCCTCTGAGCGTTTCGATTGTGTGATGATAGTCAGTCCTGACAATAAAATGGCTCTTCATTATTTGTTATCGGTTTATACTGTTTTCCTCGGTTATTCATAGGACGATTCTGGTTAACTGGAAATCGTATTTTAATATAACATTTTATCATCAGTCAGTTAAATCAATGCCTTGCCGCCCTCTTGCCTGTTGTGTTAAGGGTGACTTTTCAAAGGACAATGTAGGATTGTTGAGGTTACAGTTTCTCTTGCATGGGCCCTTCCCCATCCCTTTTGAAAAGCCCTCCTTTGATTTGGAGAACCTTCAGCAAACATCTGAAAATTAAAACTCATTCTTTGCCTGGAAGGGCTTTGGCAGTGTAGCTTTCTTGAGAGCCTGGCACTTCTGAAGCTACGGCGTGGCCCGGCCCTAGCTTCGCTCTCGTTGCATCCCAAAGCCCACAGGATCGGAGTTAGTCGGGATTTCCGAGGACACTCATGGATATGTCAGGGTGTGCAGGAAATCATCCTGTTACCCTCTGGGCTCTTCTAGGCTGGCAAATCATCATCATCAAAAAAATAAATAAATAAAATCAATTAGCCAGACAGATAATAAGAGGAAAAAAATTTCAAAAAGTTTAATAATCACATGTCTACCCCCTGTATTTATGGGAGAGGCCCCACATGACTGACAGCCCGTGTGGCGTCACACGCCCATCTTGAATAGCTTAGCCACACACAGAAGGACCTGGGGGACTGGGGGGGATGCAAGGGTCACTAGGGTGCTTCCCAGGGAAGGCACAGTAGACAAAAGGGTGCAGATTTAAGTCCTGCCTTCTCGTGAAAGTCTATGCGGACCCTTAGGTCTTCCCGGTACAGCGAGGGAGATGCCCTAACAGAGAAAGGTCTTTTTCAAAAGCAGCCTCCGCCCAGAAATCTGGACCCCTTCCATAGTCTCAACCCTTCACCCTTTTGCAGTGGCCTTTTTTCTCCCCTCCAGCTAGCATGTTTTTCTCACGGGTTGCGAAGTATTGGGGGATGAGGGTTGAATTAGCTAAGAACTAATTAGTGGGTTTAGGATATAGAAATGATTTAGTGCTAATGACTTCGCTGGAATGCATTTGCGTTCTGTGTTCTCTGAAGCTACTCTTCACACCACGTTAGCTCATCCTGCTTCTCCCAGGGGTGTTCATATTCACCTTTTAAAGTTTTGGTTTGCCACGCACATTTGATAATTCTCTCCCTGTTTACTTTCCCGACTCTCTGGCCTTATGTTATTTCCTTTCTCTTCTAAAACTATCTCACAAAAGGTTCTGATTCTCAGGGCACTGACAACCAACGTGGGGGATTAAGTTGAAGAAGTAGATAAAGGAAATGGAATTAAAGAAATAATTGTAATTTTAATCAAGTCAAAATTACTGAGGCAAGTCTAAAGCTAATGAGTATATAAAGAAATGTTGCTGCATGTACTTAACTACGTTATACAAGAAGAGCCACTCTTCAAACTTTCCAGGAAAGGAACATATTGACAATAGAGCTAGAATTCTATTAGGTGATGCCAACAGATTCTATTTATTGCTGGACAAGCACCATCTCTGTGCTTTCCTTGCATTGTTGCTTTATCGCCACAACAGCTCCTTCAGGGAAGTATATTGACTGTTTCTACTTTGCAGATGGGGAAACTGAGGCTCAGAGAGTTTGAATAATCTAGTGTGCCCAAGATCCCTCAGTTCTGTTGAAAGGTAAACTGAGAAACATTAAAATGTTTTACAGGGGCCTCCCTGGTGGTGCTAGGGGTTAAGCACCACACTATGAAGCTGTCTGCAGCCTCTGCAGCATGAGTTCGATCCCCGGCCGGCCAGGGAGCAACCCACATGGTGCAGCAGACCTCTCCTGACTCCCTGCTGCTCCCCTCAGCAGTGTGTTTCAGTGGATCCGCCTGTTCTGTTCCCCACTCTGTCTCTGGTGAATCCTCTCACCCACCCACACCTCTGGCCTGTACCCCAGTTCTTGTATGCATAAATAAATAAATCTTTAAAAAAATAAAATAAAATGTTTTTCAGGATTGGGCATTGAATCTGGAGCATCCAACCAAAGGTGGCTATGGCTGTTCCTCGGACACCAGCTGGGGGAGGGTTTCTATGGAGACCAGGTGACAGCAAAGCAAGGAAATGATTTGATTGGCCATAGTTGAAGCAGTTGCCTTATTTGGGAAAGCCTGGCTGGTTTTCTGCTTGTGATTGATTGATCTTCAATTGCGTTTTCTCTGATTTGAGTGCAGTGAGTCTGCCTGAGGTTTTGGATGCTAGGGACATACCAGCATCTGATCAGCACCTCATTTATTTAATTACTTTAATAGCTGCTAAATGGGAGACTCACCTTTGAAGCCAGCTTTGATCCCTCAGCTTGCTGTGTAGATCTTTAACCCAGGCTACTTTAGGGGGCAGCAACTTTTTCATTAAAGACCCAGAAGATACATATTTTAGGCTTTAGGGTCCATATGGTCTCTGGTGCTGTCGTGGTGCAAAAGCAAACATACCCAGTACATCAGCAGAAAGACTGAGCTGAGTGCCAATAAAACTTTATTTACAAAAGCAAGTGGGAGGCTGGCCTTATCCCCTGAGTCCTTACCAGTGCCTGGCTCGAGATCACAAGAACCTCACCTCGGCCAGCACGACAGTGAAGCACAGAGGATGCTGGGATAAGATTGCTGGTCAGATTCTAAGCTGGTTCCTGCCCTCCGGCATATGGCCTGTGACCTTTGGGGTGATCTCTGCTGCAATCCTTTGTGTCACTATGAGACCAAATCACTGGTATCTTACCTGTTTCCTACAAAGTAGCCTCTTAATTCTCATATCTATAAATTGTCTGGACCCAATCCATAGGGAGTCACATGACCTTGGGTCTTGTTATACAATCTCCCAGGGCAAGGGTGAAGCCCCGCCCCCAAAATAAAAGAACCTCAAACACTCTCTTTGATTAGTTTCAGGGATTTGTTACAAACAATGAGATTTTAAAATGCTAGAACCTCTAGTCTTAACTAGAGGATAATAATAAATAAAGGGAAATGCATTTCCTTTTTCTTTCTCTGATGCCTAACCCAAGTGGGTGGATACACACGCATGAGGAAGGGGGAGAATCACAAGCTGCAGTGGATTTGTGTATGGTTCAGATTCGAGTCTAAACCATTTGCACCAACACTGCGCTGCAAGGTGGAGTCTGACTCTGGAGATTTTCCTGGACATGACCATTGCTTCTGTTTCAACCACACAGTGGGCCTCCCCGGTGGCCAGTGGTTGAGTGCTGGCTTGCGAAGCTGCCCGCAGCCTCTGCAGTGCTGGTTCGATCCCCGGCCACCGGGTGAGGGTCCCGCATGGCGCGACAGACCTCTCCTGCCGCCCGCTGCTCCCCTCAGCAGTGGACTTTGTCGGTCTGCCTGTTCTGCTCTCTTCTCTGGCTCTGGTGGGTTCTCTCATCCTCCCGCGCTTCTGACTGTACCCAGTGCTTGTATAAATAAATAAATCTTAAAAACAAAACAAAACCACACAGTAAGAAAAGTGATGTTCCCCTGGAGAGGGAGTGGGGGGCGGGGGAGGAACCACCAACACCCCAGCACCTGCCATCACACGCCTGAGCCCCAGGTGCCAAGTATTGAAGCGAATTGTTCAGATAACAAAGGAAAAAGAGAAAACGGACATTTGCACAAAGAAACATTTAATGATTTCTTTGGGGGATGGTCTTGACTCTTGGGAGGAGACAGTGCACCAGCCATTAGCAAAATCTACTTCTATACATGCACTTTCAGCTTCCCTCGAGATGGGATGCTCACGGCTTCCCCTTCCCGGGAGGCCTTTGGTTCTCGTAGAGGTCAGAGGTCAGGCTTCATTTTCTGATAAAAGCCAACAGTTGGCTGGCTTCAAAGCCAGCTCATTGCCTCCATCTATGGAGCCTGATCCGCAAGGGCGGGCCTCATGGGAACCCTTCGCAGCCTCTCCCCGCCCATGGCGCCCACCCTGCGTTTGCAGGCATCCGACACTCCTGGGGGTGCTGCTCAGGAGCCCTGGGGTGGGGCCACAAGCCCTTCGGTGTCCTGGTATAAAATCCCACTCCCAGAAACCTGGAGACAGGCACCGAGAGGGGTTCCCGCCCCTGAGAACCGGCCCCGGGAGGCGATCACCTGGGCTGGGCGCCGGGCTCTGTGCGCCTAGGTGGCAGCTCCGGGGTGGGCTCCGCCCGGCATTTTCAGCGGCTCTGCAATATTTTCTTTGTTGCCATAACAACTAACTAATAAGGAGGCCCAGTTTGACCTGCTTTGTTTCTCCGCGATGCCTGAAGTGCCGGGGCTTCCCACAGCGCTCCCTGGGCTAGGAAAAGCCAGCCAGGAGCTGCTCGGGACGCAGGGCACACGCTGCAGTGGCGTGAGGGCAGGAGCGAACCCCAGGCCGGGGCAGGGAATGAGCGAGGAGCTGCAGCCCCCCGGCCTCCCCTCCACAGGCGCCAGTCCCTGTTGCAATGCAGGGCCCCTGAAGACTTGCCTCGTCCTCCTTAGAGCTGGGGTTGCTTGAGTGGATGGACAGATTTTGGAGATGGGTCGGTTGGTGTTTTGCCTGGAGCTCCTAGAACAGCGCTGCTCCTTTGTGTGTGTCTGTGTGGTCTTTGTTTGCTCACTTACATGGGAGCCCCTAAGGTAAAAGGTTGGTGGTGGGGGCACAAAATCCCAGTTGGAATCTTAAGAGGCCAGGGACCCATTTGCTTGTTTCCTGGGTAAGTGGTGACCGTCTCTAGGCCCAAGCAGTGAGGACCCCTGGAAGGCCTTTCTGGAAAGGCCTGCACACTCTGCCCAGCATGGCCTACTCGCTGTCACTGTCCCCGAAGCTTTCCTGGGGCACAGTCAGGCCCACTGGACCAGGCACGAGCTGTGGCTGCTGTGGTGAGGCAGCCTTGGAGTTGGGCAGCTTCTGGGGAGTGGGGCTCCCCAAGCATCCTGTCCCTCCACGGGACAGGTTTGCTGGGTCCTGCCCTACCTGAGCCTGCCTTCAAGGACCAGCTGGGCATCCAGGTCCTGACTGCTTGTTTGTCCTCAGCATTGCAGGGAAGGGAATGTTCTCCTGGGAGGGATGCTTGTCCCCTCGTCCTCACCTATGCCCTCCCGTTGCGAAGATCATGGGTTCTGTGGTGCCTTTGCCGAGAGTTGTTGGCTCCTGCAAGAGCCAAACTTCCTTCAACCCAGCATCTCAGAGGTCCTTCCTGAGACCCCTGCAGCAGAGGGAGCCGCTCCTGAGCTCTCAAAGTGCTGGGGACGGCCCTGCATGGCGCGCATCGCGGGTGGGATGCGTTCGTGGGGTGCCTGCCTTCTCCATCCTCTCTGGCCCCCTGTGGGCAGGTGCTGTATCAATTTAGCTTAGCTTTGTGCCCTCAGCACCAGACAAGACACCTGGTTGACATGGCAGGTGCTTAATCAATATTCATTCCATCAGTTAAGTATTGGAAAGTGAGGTGTCAGTCAATAC